TTGGAGACAAGAATAGATTCATGCGCTCCTAACCAGTAACCGGCAACCACCAATGACCAGGGCAATGGGCTCCCATTCTCAATTACACTTAGAATTAGAATGTTGGTCTCATCTTCCATATCTTATATGGTTGAGACATGCATCTTTAAGTTCTCTGCATATATCATATTTTTGCCGACATTTTTTTGAGGTTAAATGGTAGCGTATCCTGCATGAGTATGATCTTTTCCTTTAATTAGTTTGTAACTATCGTGTAAGATATCAAGTTCATTACCCACCATATTGAATATATAGTAGGTACGAGTATGACTCTTATTTAAAATAAAATTACAAATAATATATTTTTGGAAATACATAGGCATAATATTAAAAAAAAAATCTCTCACTTTAGGAATCATGTCAATAATATATGTGTTATGTTCCTATTAATCAAATGTAGGAACTACCGTAATGTATTAAATATTGAGAAATGATTCGTTTACAATTTTTTTTTATAAATTACACTAAGTATGATTGGTCATACACTTTTGATTGAAGTATGACCGGTCATATTTAGTGTAATTTGAAAAAATTTGTAAATATAACATCCCCTTAAATATTTTCCTATTACAAAAGGAAACGGATCAGTCCCAGTAGTAGTATAATTCACTCTCTTTTGAGCTCTTTTTTATGTTTTTCTTTTTTTTTCACAAATTACAAAATAACTAATGAAATTCTTTTTTCTTTATATTGGTTTCACTTAAGGGTTTAAAGTTTTTAAAGTTATTTTAGATAACTTTATCTAATATTTATCAAAATATACATAAAAAAGTGTGTGAAATCTATGTGGACTCACGTGAAGAGAGTGCAAAAAAAAACATGTGACTCACACACCTTTATGTATGTATTTTGGTGAACATTAAATAAAATTATTTAAAATAACTTTAGAAACTTTAAACCCTTCACTTAATGTAAGTTGTTTACATCAATGTTATTAAAATTGACCCAACCGAAGTACCGGGTCATTGGTTCAACCAATTGATACTGGTTGAATCGCATGAGTCGGTGATTATATGTAAATCTATAATTTATATTAAAAAAATTATAAACATACTCAAATAGTTAAAAATAATAATATAAATTCTAAATATTTTAATATAAAAATAATAAATTATACTTTATTGTCCAATAAAGAATCGAACAAACATATAATACTTGTGATATTGATGTTTCAGGTTTAGTTCTCTAACTATAAATCAAATCAAAATTTCTTGCATAGTGCATAACTGAGATATATTAGTATTGTAGGTACATAATTTATGTAAGTCAATAAGCAAATGACCACTCAAATATGTCAATTACAATTTTTTAATTTTTTTTTGGAAATATTGTTTTTTAAAAAAATCGAGCCGAGTCATCTGTCTTCACCAAAACCAGTCGGGTCGTACCAGGTCGCATCGGACCTAATACTTAACCGATCTAATATGATAACCGAATCAGTTAGATGATCGGTTTACCGGGTTTCGAGTCGAACTGGCCAGCCCGGTCTGATTTTTACAACATTGGTTTACATCTTAACCAAGTTCAATTATATATATATACATATATATATATATATATATATATATATATATATATATATATACATACATACATATATATATATATATAGAGGTATGATCCTTTGATACCGGTGTCAAATTTAAAGTTTGACACCTCATCTGAGAACCGTCAGATAAAAAAAATCAATGGTGTCACATGCTTACAAATCAGAGTTATTGATTTTTTTGATCTAATGGCTCTCAGATTAGGTGTCAAACTTTAAATTTGACACTGATATCAAAGGATCCTGTCCCATATATATATGGAAAAAGTATTTCTACAGCCACATCAGATAAGGTTATCTACAGCTATCCCTTTTTAACTAAGTACAATCGGTCTTACTTAGTTATAACAATAAAGCTGCTCTTTTTTTCTCTCTCCTCAGACACTGTCGGCTGACGTAGCGGAGAGAGAAAATGCACTTTTAATGTACGACCGATTGTACTTAGTTAAAAAAGAGTAGTTGTAGACAACCTTATCTAAAGTAACTGCAGAAATGTTTTTCCATATATATATATATATATATATATATATATATATATATATATATTGCCCCTTACTTCTCCTTTAAAAGGAGAAGAATTTTTTGCAGCAATCAAAAATAACTATGTCTTATCCCCCAAGGTTAGCTCCCAAGGATTTGCTTGGGTCAGGCGTTCAAACCCTATCTCAAGCAAATTATTGAAAAATCCTTGGGGGCCATAAAATGTGCTTCTCTCTTTGAATGAAGGATTAGTCTCATTCTTCCTCTTGTGACGAAGCTCAATGCACCAGCTATTCCAATAAAGGGTAGCCTTCGAAGTCGTACTCCAAAGACAAGGTGACCGAAGAAAGTTGAATGGGGATACCTTCTGGTTATACCAAAAAAAAATAATTATGTCTTACCGATAAGATATAGTTATAATTTTAAAATTTTTATTTTCTCTCCTCATAATAAAAAAAATATTTTGCTTAAAATATCTTCTCCTTTGAAAAGAGAAATACATTTCCATACTTTCTCAGTAAAAATATGACTTAATACTTCTCTTTTAGTGCAACAATGTGTACATGCAGTCACATTAAAAGTCATATTTTGTAATGTGACTGCATGTAAGCATTGTTGCACTCACCTAAAAACTACGTCATTCTGGGAAGGATAAAGGAAGTTCGTGTCAAAATTAATTGTAGTAAATAGAAATATTATATTTATTTTCACATTTGTATGGTTATGATTCCTCATATTTAATACTTTCACAATATTATTAAAATCGGCCCAATCATTGTCCCAGTCGAGGTAATGGGTCACTAGGTCACTGGTTCAACCAGTGGGTCACTGGTTCATTCGCATGACCCGGCAATTATATACACTTTAATAATTTATATTAAAAAATTATAAACATACTCAAATATCTAAAAAAAATGATAAAAATTTCAAATATTTTAATATAAAAATAATAAATCACATATTATTATCCAATAAAGGATCAAACAAAAATATAACGATCGTGATACGAGGTTTTAGGTTCAGAAAACGACATCTCTAACTATAAATAAAATCAGAATTTTTAGTGCATAATTGAAATAATATTAGTGTTATATGTACATAACTTATGTAAGTCAATAAGCAAAAAAATATTCAAATATGTCTATTATGATTTTTATTTTTATTTGGAATTATTTTTTTGGAATCGGGCCAGGTCACTGATTTTCATGAAAATCGGCTGGGTCGCACCGGTTCTGATGCATGGCCGGTCTGTTGCTTCAACCGGACCGATTTACCCGTTCCCGAGTCGACCCGGCCAGGTTGGTCCGATTTTATTAACACTGGTACATCCGCTAAATTCATTTATATATATATGTATAGTTATAATGTTAAAGTTACTTTTTTCTCTATTTCTTCTCAGTCACTTTTCTGAACCTATCGACTGAAATAAAGAAAAAGAGAAAAGTACGGTCTCTACCCCTTTTGTTTATTGAACTGTCTCTACCCGTTTCTTTTATATAGTGTGTGTGCGCGAGCGTGCGTATGTCTGTCTAAAAAAGACACTAAATTATCATTTAGTTTTCATGTATGTTTTCCCCTAAAAGTAAAAGAACAGACAAATAAAACCATTATATGTACGTTCAATGCTCTAGATTTAATCCCTGCTTAAGATAATAGGCTTTTGTGACATTGAAGTTAATATTATTTAATTATTTTAATTGTTTTAATTATTACACGCATTAAACCTATTACATAATGTCAAAATACATAATTAAATAACGGTATATGTTTTTTTTATACTAATAATATATGAAAATTAAAATTTTAAAGTACTACATGAATGCAATAACTTAATTAGTAAAATTTATTTAGGACAAAAAAAAAGGGAAGGATAAAGTCTTATCGTTTTTAACGATATCTGATTATGCATTAGAAAATTTATTCAAATTTCCAATGATCCCATGCTCAGAAACAATTTGGTACAATGTAGGTTGTTGGAGTCTGGAGATGAGCTCATCTAGCCAGCTATGGAGTAATTAAGATATATATTAATATTTGCAGCAATCAAATTAAATGAGTCCCCGTTACTTTTAAGGTATCAAGACATAAAAAATAGAGTAAATTAAGGAGGGTAACCATCCTATTCTGCTTTAACCAGCTTGCTAATATCATCTTATCTATGTTACTCAATAAAATCTCGAAACATATAAGATAACACTAAAAAAAGTAATGGAGAAGACTACCAATATATGAAACATGAGAATTCTTTTTAAGCACGATTGGGTCTTTTAATTTACTACCAAATAAAAGCGAGAAATGAAAGGGAGTAATGTTTTACTTATTCTCAATCGTTATAAAAGAGTAATATATAAACAAAAATTAAGAAACTATAAAAGGTAAGAATCCTAAAGAAATAGAAAATTAGAGTGCTAATAAATTATTAATATAATATTCATAAATATGCAGGATTTTTTTTATACTGATTTATACACTATGGATATCGGATATCAATTCTTTCCGGAATAGAAAATATGCATCAAAGAGTGATATTATATGAAATTAATTTGACACGGAGTAAACCTTTGGAGGTAATAATATCAACAATATCATTTCTCAATTTAGGAAAAATAAAACAAGTTGGGAAGAAAATCTTAAAATTAAACATAGAAATCAATAAATATAAATTTGAAGGGAACCGTAAATTAAGTTGGCTATAAGATGTAAGGCGTGCAAACACGTCTACATAAACAAGAGAGGGTCCCCATAGTTTGGTTGGTGATCTTTTTTCCAAAGTTACATACGTAATACTCCTCCTACTCCTACTCCTACCTCTGTTTTCGCTCTTCCTTTTGAATTCAATACTCCAACCCCTCCCCTTTACTTCATCATAAGCAACCTATATTCATACCCTTTGTCTCCAAACTCTCTTTTAATTTCTGGTTCGTCTTTCTCTGCTATGCAGAAGCTCTGTCCCAATCTTGACCGCGAGGATGGGCTCGAAACAGTGCTTGAGGTTCCCATCCCAGAGATTTTCACCGTGAAGAGGGGTATCAGCAGAGCTTGGCAGAACGTGAAGTCATGGATGAAGCCAAACTTTGAATCAAGATCATCATCATCACTCTTTGGAAGCCAAAACACAGACATCCAGCTATTGCTTAGTGTTTTGGGAGCGCCATTAATCCCTTTCCCTATCACCTCTGAGAACCAACCCATCATCACCCACAGCATTAAAGGCCATCATAACATGGTCAGTACAGTAGTGGTTTGAAAAAAAAAAGAGCTTTCGGTTTTCTTGGCATAGATTGATCATAATGAAATAGCCCAATTTTTGTTTTGTTTTGTTTTATTCTTTGTTAAAATATTGTGTTTAATTTGTTGTATATGACTTTGAAGGAGGCTTCCATGGCGAAATATATAGTGAAACAGTACGTGGCGGCTGTGGGAGGAGAGAGTGCTTTGAATTCGGTGGAAAGCATGTATGCTATGGGTCAGGTGAGAATAGGAACCTCAGAGTTTTCTGCAGGGGAGAATAACAAGAAGACGGTGAAGGTGAAGAAGGAGAAGATGAAGCGAGAGATGGGAGGTTTCGTGTTGTGGCAGAAGAGGCCAGAGTTGTGGTGCTTGGAGCTGGTTGTTTCTGGGTACAAGATCAGTGCCGGGAGTGATGGCAAAGTGGCATGGAGGCAAACCCCTTGGCAACATTCTCATGCTTCTCGTGGCCCACCTAGACCACTTAGGCGTTTAATTCAGGTAATTTTAATTCAAATTTGACCTAGTTGTGTTCTTGTTTCTATTGGGGTTAATGAATCATGATTGATTGTGATTAGTGGAAAATGATACTGTCATGATTAATTATAATTAGTATATATCTATGTAGTGGTAAAAGTTGATTCCCACTTAGGCGTTTAATTCAGGTAATTTTAATTCAAATTTGACCTAGTTGTGTTCTTGTTTCTATTGGAGTTAATGAATCATGATTGATTGTGATTAGTGGGAAATGATACTGTCATGATTAATTATAATTAGTATATATCTATGTAGGGTAAAAGTTGATTCAACCAACTCTGAAATCATTTTTCACTGATTTTCTTGCTAATTGCCTTCTGTTATTGCCTAACATTCTGTTAACTTTAAATGGAGAAAGTGCGTGACGTTGGGGTTTCCCTCTGTCTCTGACGATTACGAATGACAGGCAATAGAGCCTCTAAACCGTGTTCTTGCATTGATTGATGTTACTTTTTTAGTTTTGATTTCTTCTGATTACCTCAAGTGTGAATCTGAATTGATCACCTTTTTATTTTGTTTTTTTTTATCATCAAGGTCTAGCTTCTTATAACACAAAAAAGGGAATGTATGTTGTTCGCCTCCCTAACCAAAGCCCAACCAATCAAAACCAAGTGTTTCCCATTTGCAAAAGGAATAAAAGAACCAGAAAAAAAGAAAGCCAATTTACTTTCATAATAATTTATTCAGAGAAATTAGCTTAGCCCTCCCAGAACCCGAAGTTCTACATTTGATAAGAAAAGTCAACAAAGAAAATTCCTTCCTCTACCTAAACTCCGAAGCCAAAACTGGATTTTCTCCAATTCAGCAGTTGCATGTGATCGCTAAAAGTCAAAAATTCCATTTTTTTCAAAAAGTTTCCTTTTGTCATCCCAAACTCTTTACATACATCCTTGACCAACAAAGAACGCTTATATTTCTTCAAAAAAAAATAATAAATGCCTTCGTTTCCTTTATAGGGCCTGGTCAGTATTAATTTGAAGCCACCCAATTTCGTTGATACATAATTCACGTATCATTGTCGTCGATTAACGAGTTCATGCTTGCCAATTTTATTCCTTTGGCTAAGGAAAAAGTCTACTACATATCAAAAAGATTTAAAAATAAATAAATAGGGGGAAAAGAGGAAGGGGTACTTCTACTCGTAGAATTAGAAGGTTTTGTGATAAATCATATTGGATATAATTTTTATTCCATCATACGGTGAATATATACAAGTAATAAAAATAAAAGTTATAATCGCCAGAGATGCTGATGCTGTTGTAGGTAATATACACATAAAAAGAAATAAATTATTCTGATATGTGATTGACTTGAATTGAGCTTTTCTATAATCATTCCATAATTTAAGGCTTTTCAATAATTGTTGATTATTTTCCTTTTGTTATTTTTATGTTTGATTGTGCGTTGATTGTGCATTATTTTCTTTGATTGTGCATGATTATAGTTATTTATTTATTTTTGTTATTTTATTTTGCTTATTTAAGACTGAGAAAATCCTATTATTATTTGGTTAAAAAAAATTAAGAAAAGAGAAAAGTATTTTCTCGCAATTTTTGTTTCATTCTTTCTTTTTGTATAGCCCATTGGTTGTTGCTTCTGCATTATATTCTCACCAATTACTAATTATGAATACCTGTATTAATCATGGTATTTTGTTGGGATTGACAAAATATCTCACTGGTTGTGAATCTCTATAATCATTGTGGACCAAACGAATATGATGAAAACATTCAGTTTACGATATATTCATAATTAGTATTCATAATTACGTTTGGTAGAGGGAAAAAAATTATTCGGGAATCTCGATTTTCAGAAATATGATAAAAACATTTAGTTTACAATAATATCCAAAAATTAAAAATTTAGAAAAATTCAGTTTTCCAGAAATCCTATAAAATACCGACTATCAAAGGCTTCCTAAGTCTATATTGCTATGATCACTATCTTCTGTAATCTTGGGAGTTGGCCAACCATGCCTACATTACTACGATGTTAATAAACTAACCTAGTAGCTAGCGTCAAACACATGCGCATTTTTATATCCACATTTTGATTATAAATTTTATAAAATCACCTTGTCTATTTTACAGTTATCTGATAGTTGATGTCTTGTGAACAGGGTCTTGATCCAAGATCTACGGCCAAACTATTCAACGAGTCCATATGCATTGGGGAGAAGAGAGTGAACAACGAAGCATGTTTCGTACTGAAACTTGAAACAGAGTCCACTTCATTGCGAGCAAGAAGCAGCAGCAACATAGAGGTAATTAGTCACACAATATGGGGCTACTTCAGCCAGAGAACAGGTCTTTTGGTGCAGTTAAAAGACTCCCACTTGCTCAAACTAAAATCCTCTGGAAGTGATAGCATATTCTGGGAAACCAACATGGAGTCCCTCGTACAAGATTACAGAACCGTGGATGGCATTAACATAGCACACGCTGGGAAGACTTGTGTCTCTTTGTTAAGGTTTGGTGAAGACCCTTCTCAGAGCCTTTCGACGACCCGAATAGAAGAGGTTTGGCAAATTGAAGAAGTGGACTTTAACATTAAAGGGTTGTCCATGGATTGCTTTCTACCCCCTAGTGCTTTGAAGGGATCAGAGGATGAAAGAGGGGTAGCAGAGTGTGGGGTGTCTACTAGCAATGCAAAATCATCATTTAAGATTTCATCTGCTTCTTTTAAGATTAGTTCTTCCAAAGTAGCTGCTGTAAATGTGGATGATTCAAGTGCTAGTGAAAGCGATGAAGACATGTAAATCTTTACGTTCCATTTTTTAAGCAATAGGATAAGTTACATAACTTCATTCCTTCTTTTCCTTTATCTCTTTTTCTTCTCATTTTTTATTTTTTATTTATTTAATTTTTTACACTCTTTTTATTTTTACTTTTATTTGTATATATTATTCATCTATCACCGACCCAATTAATTTAAAATAAAAATATTATTGATGTACATAACTTATGGGTTCTTTTCTTGCGACAAAAATAGGATAAAAAATTTTAACGGTTTGATTTTTATTCTTTTAAATGATATAGAATTATGTCATTTTAAATAAAATTATGGGAAAGAAAGTGAGTGATTTTTTTAATTTAAATTTTAAATAAAAAAATTAATTTTAATTAAAATTACCATCCTTTAAAAGAAGGAATATTTTTTCGAAATTTTAAACGTTCAATGCGAAACTTTTTTTTTTAAGAAAAAAAATCTGAAATCAAAGGATGATCTAAGAGCATGTTGTTATCAAGTTCAATGAAATCAATCGAAAACAAAGTACGACCGCCAATCTTAATTTTAGAGGTGGTAATATGGGTTGAATCCGACGGGTCAATTCGTCAACTCATCAAAACGGAGCGAGATAAGTTGAGGTTTTTAACCTACCAACTCACTTCAACACGCCCCGCCTAGAAATGTGTCAAAACGGGTTGACCCGCTAAGTTATAATTTTATTTTATTTTTGTACAATTAGGTAGTATTTCATTTGTAATCTTTTTTTTGTAATATCCAAAAAAAAAAAGTTATCTTAGTACTTCTTAAAAAAAAAACAATTTTATTTATAACAAATATTAATTATATATGAAGACAAATAAGTTCCTAAAGAATGTTTGACAAATATTAATATACATTTAAAGATTGAGATTGAAAAAAATTAAGAGAAGTGTAAAATAAAATAAAATAATATTAGAAAAATTTATAAAATATAATTTATTTTTTAAATTTTAATTATTATTTTTTTAATTGACGGGTTGGTGGGTTGACCCGCCAACTCACCATAAAATGGTATCGTTCATTTTTTCAGCTCATAGTTAATGACCGGGACGGGGCCCCGTTTTTGAGAGGGAGCCGGACCAACCCAAATTGTCATCCCTATACTTATGTGTTAATCAGTTATTATTTTGAAAGAAAGTGACGAGACTTTTTTAATCACCAATTTCATGAGATTTAAAAGGGAAATTATATTAACTAAAATTCCTAAATTCAAGCTAATGTTATTGAAATCGAACTAGCTATCAACCGTTCCTATCTTTATTTAGTATACCAACCCAAATTATCTATTTTTTTGTAAAAAAAAGTATGGATAGTATTTTTTTTTTTTTAATTAGAGAGAAACTCTTTTCATCTTTTAAAAAAAAAAATTAGAGGAATAAGAAAATTAGGGGCCGCAAAATAACAGAATGAAATTCTACATCCCTCGAACCAGACATACAGCAAGCACATCTTCTGTATGCTCGTTCTCGGCCCAGTTCCACTTACAAACGACGTCGTTCGCCCGCACCAGTATAAAATGGAAGGAAACATGTTAGAAATATTTTTGGTGTGCCATTCTTTTTCTTTTTCTTTTTCTTTTTCTTTTTTTCGGTCTATGGTTTACTGATCTGTGATTGATCATAAAGCATCAACACTAAAATATTTTTTTTAATATAATTAGTAATGATGTTAGAGAAGTATATAAATGGGATTTCAGTACATGTATCCCTTGATTCTTTACGAATGACACTCGGTCTATGGTTTACTGATCTGTTTCGGAAATGTTAATGCGTTAGAGCAAATTGTGAAGTCACAAATTTTTTTTTTGGTATTAGGTGAAGTCACAAATTAAACACCGATAAAACTAACAAAATTTGAACTCAAATATCTCGAGTCCTTCTACATACATTCATTGTCATCGAAGGAAAAAAAAAAAAATTGATATAGAAAACCAGATAACAGTAGGAAAATCATATTGAGATAGAAAAACAACAGTTTATTGATATACTTAACGAAAAACTTTAGAAACACGGCTGTATATAGTTTATGAAACCTTGCATAACCACATTACATAACATAACATAACACAACACAAGATGAACATTCCCAGAGAGGACACGGTATTTAATTCCCAAATGTAACGACTGATCAAACACACAATTAACCAGAGATTTGAATAGACTTGACCTCTGGCTTCTTCTCTTCCTCCTTAGGCACAGTGACAGTGAGCAACCCATTCTCCATGGCAGCATTGATCTTATCCATCTTGGCTTTCTCAGGAAGCCTGAACCTCCTCATGAATTTCCCTGTGCTTCTCTCCACGCGGTGCCACTTATCATCCTTGTGTTCATGTTCTCTGCTTCTCTCCCCACTTATTTGCAGCACTCTGTCATCTTCAACTTCAACCTTCACTTCTTCTTTCTTCAACCCAGGAAGCTCAACACTGAACACGTGAGCCTCTGGAGTCTCCTTCCAATCCACACGCGCGTTAGCTATGGCACTGGTTTCACGATCAGTGGAAGACACATTCATAAAAGGATCCCATGAGTCCAGCGAGAAAGGATCGAAGATGTTACTTCTTCGACCGCCCAACAAGCTTGGGATGAGAGACATATAGTGATATATATTTCAATTTGAGAGATTTTAAAAGAAGAGTTTTCTGTATCGTATATTACTGTTTTTGTTACAAAAGGGCAAAAGAAGAAGCTTTATATAGGAAACAAAACAAGTATCAGGGATTTCGAGGATTTTCTATTGAGATAGTGTTAGATGGAGACAGATGTTTCTACGAGATTCTACAATTTGTGTTGGGTTTGGCGCACACGATTGTCTCTTTGTTTTGCCGAGTGGATCCGAAAACATCGCCAGAAAAATGCAACAAGAACGAATATGTGTACTCACCACATTTAAACATTTCTGTATGAGGTGTCGATCAATAGCCTAGTGAAATATATGAGGTGTTTTAATGGCAAGTCCCCGGTCGCATGAACAGACACGTCTATGTTCTTTCAACAAAAAGTTTTGACAAAAGTTTTTTGAATTAAATATTTTTAAAATTAATAAACAAAGGTGTACTTATCATTAATTTAATTTAAAGTGGATCTTTACTCACTAAAACTTAAAACTAAATATACACTTCTTTGCAAATTATATAGGCAAACTGAATTTAGATGACTTTTTTCACTTTGAATACAATAAGGCTAGGCACATAGGCTTAAATTTTATCGAGTAAAAGAAGTCTTCTTTAATATATTATACACTGCTTGATTTTCCATACACACTAAGATGGCCTGCTAAAATTTTAATAATTTTTATAATGTGGTATAAAGTAGTAATAGTAAATTCGTGCATTTCCTCACCAAAAAAAAAAATCGTGCATTTTTTTCTTCCCTCATTACTCTTCCTTGTTTTTTTTCATCAAATGATCGGGACTTTTTATTTATTATGTTTTTAATCAGGAGGCATTGATAGAAAAAATGTAAAAATTATATTAAAGTGTAAATTTTAAATATTCTATGATTTACTTTAAAATCATTTATTCTTAAATTTTTTTATCACTTATTTTTCTTATTTATTTTTTAAAATTCTTTTGAATTCCGTTTCATAGAAAAAGTATATTAAAAATATCTTTCGATCAAATTATATAGTTTCATTTTATTTTAGTTTTAGTTTTTGAACGATTTTAGGCCTTACATAAATAGACAATTTATATACCAAAAAAAAAATAGACAATTTGATGTTTAGCAAAAAAAAAATCGAACAATGAAACAAATATAAACGCTTCGTCTACGGTTCATCCGAATAAAATGAATAATTTATGTAAATTTAAATAGCGTTTAAATCGATTTGAAAAAAGAAAGTAAAATTTTTTAGAGTAATTGAAGATAAAAAATAATATCTGTATGTTATACTCTCTACAAAAGCTATTTCCTTAATATTCAAATACGTTTAAAGAAACTGATCTTTGGTTGGAACAGTGACCATTGTGCCACTGTTCCAAGACTTTTTTACCTAAATGTCATGTCTACAGACTTTTTTCCTAAACTGCCACGCAGGCAAGTTCGTTAGAGTTGTAGCGAACTAGGCATGCTGATGTGTCAGCTTCCTGATGGTGCTCAAGTTCGCTACTGACACAGGCGAACTTGGATGTAATAAATGCTGACACGTATGACAAGTTCGTCGCTCTACAGAGTGAACTTGTTGTGCCACGTGTCTGACACGAACGTAGTTCGTTGGGGTCCAGGCAAACTCCTTGCCATGTGTCAATTGGCACACAGTTCGTTGTACCCTGTAGCGAACTATGTGCCACGTGGCAGCACCCTGGAAGTTCGCTGCATGGGTAAGCGAACTACCTGCCGACAGTTACAGTTCGCTGGCCTAGGTAGCGAACTCAGTGCTCTTTAAACACCCCTCTTCCTGAACCACTTTGTCATTCTCGTCCGTTTTCCTTTAAAGTTTCCATTGTTTTTTGTTTTTCTATTTCAGTACATAATGAGTGAGAGTAACAACGATGTAATATGCCTTCTATATTACTATGGGAGAAGGGATGGCCTCCGACGCGGCCACATACAACCTCTCCATCTGTGGGCAACCCCAGCAGATGGTGTACATCCTCCAAGGTAATCGTAACCTCACCCATCGGCATATGGAATGTGCGCGTCTTAGGCCGCCATCTCTCCACAAGGGCCGAGAAGAGTGAGTGATCAATCTGTTTCAAAAAAAATTACACTTTATCAAAATTTATGAAACATACAACATGTAATGTGGATGTTATAAAGTCTACGTCTCACTAACCTCATGGTTGCGCAGACGTGCAACGTTATAAAACTCAGCCTGCTTAAGGTAAGGTTGGATATCTTCTGGTATATCTAAGTGATCGTGTGTCTCGCAGCGTGTCTGACATTGAGGACCCGATCACGTTGTTGTGCGTCATCTGATGTGTTCCACACAATCGTGGAGATGTGTTTCTCCTGCAACGTCAGGAGAGAACACACATGTGGACCAGGGTCAATGAAAGTCTGTTGTGGGTCCTCCTGCTCCATGGATCTATTTACAAAAAAAATCAATTATTACAATTACAAATTATATGATATATAAAAATAAATACTAATTAATTACTAAGAAATAATTAAATATTCAACATTATTTAATTATTCTATAATCCATGAATAAATAATTATATATTAAAGATTAATTGTGTAATACAAAAATTATAATATATTAATTTATAAAATACAATAATTTATTATTTTATACAAAAGTTAAATAATATATAACAAATAAATACTAATTACTAAGAAATAAGTAAATCAATATTGTAATTTAATATTTTATTTATTCAAAAATTATAAAATTTTAAATAAATAAATACTAGTTACTAAAAATTAAATAAATCAATATTGTAACTTAACATAATATATTATACAGGAATTATATAATTTTGAAAAAGTAAATACCAACTACTAAGAAATATATTATATTATACAAAAATTATATAATATATAAAAATAAATACTAAATACTAATAAATAAATTAATAAATACAAAGATTATCGACAAAATTTTGTAACCTATTTTTCAATCCTATAACTAAATAATTTTATTTAATTTAAATATATTAATTATGGCATAATCATGAATTTATTAAATATAAAATTTAACAACATTAAAATCAATATAAATCATAACCTACATTTCAACCCTATGAATAACATTAAACAATTAATATTATTAAATAATACATTAATATAAATTGCTACATCTAATAACATTAATATACATATTCTAAGCCAATGTTAAAATTTTCTAACCTATTGTGTTATATCCTAGAACTAAATAATTTTATTAAATTCAATATTATTAATTATTGCATAACCAACAAATTATTAAATACAAAATTTAACAACATTAATATAAAAATTATCTAACCTACATTTCAACCATATAAATAACTAATACATATAAAACAATTTATTTGATACATTAATGAAATAATATGGCACAATTAATATTCAATTACTAATAATTGCATAATTAAAAAAATTATTGATAAATTTAACAACAATAATATAAAAAATTTATAACCTAAAAACTCTATAAATAATAGCAAACAACTCATATTATTGAATCAAGCATTAATATAAAATATTAAACTACTAATATTAACATGCTAACCTAATGTTTCATCTTATATATAAATAATTAACAACATTTAAATAACTATATAAAACTGGAAAAAAAATAACCTAAACCATAAACTGCTAACCTCAAATGAAGACAAATGAAATGAGAGACAAAGAAAGATTAAAAAGGATGAGAGTGAGAGAAGAAAGAGGGGGAGGGACTTCGGGTGGGGGAAATGGGGGAAATGGGGGAAGGGGGGTTATGTAGGGCTCTGGAAAATAGTCGTTGCACCAAGTTCACTGCCCCCCAGCGAACTTGGTGCATGTCAGCCACGTGGCCTGCTAGCTGTTAGACAGAGTTCGCCTGATGTGGCCAACGACCTCTATTGCATGCATGACACGTGGCTTGACTGGTGGAAAGGTGCAGAGCATTAAATGCTGCAGAGTTCGCTTGTGTCAGTAGCAAACTTTATCACCATCAGAAAGCTGACACATCAGCATGCCTAGTTCGCTACAACTCCCAACGAACTTGCATGCATGGCAGTTTAGGAAAAAAAGTCCGTAGGCGTGGCATTTAGGTAAAAAAGTCTTGGAACAGTGGCACAATGGTCACTGTTCCTCTTTGGTTACCACGACGGACTCTTGATGATCACTCAGGAGGAATTTAACTTTCTTAGGGCATGTTTGGTGTAGTATATAAGGTCTAATAGTATAAGTTTATACTATGCATTTCGACATATTTAGTTATTTGGTGTGACTATCGTATAGTATAAGCTTATACAGCAAGATCTCTTTATACATCAAAGATTCAAAATAATGTATAACTTAATCAGGTCTAGGAAAGTAAGATTCGACCTGATAAGGGATTGATGTATTAAGCAATGTAATTCTCAAGAATTAATATATTATTCTAATATTAATATATTAAAATAAAAAATAAATTTTCAGTATATAATTTTTTAAAATATTGAAGTTTTTTATTTTTATAAAAATTAATATATTTTTTGGACACAGTGATTGACATATTTCTATAAAAAAAAATAATATCATCTGATATATTTAGAAAAATTATGCAAATTCATTATTAAAAGGTATTTTTGACCAAAATATTTATTTTTAATCTATCTAGTATTATATAGTGTATTATCAAGCATTAAATGATATTATCTTATACAATATATTATCTTATACAGATATCATGTTAAACATTGAATAGTATTAAAATTTAATTAGGTCTTATACAATCATATCTTATACTATCCTACCTTATCTTATATTATATACTCCTTGAGAATTATGATTGTCCAATGTCCATGCAGCATGCTTTATTCCCAGCTGGACTTTACATGTGACCCAAATTTAGCAAATGCTTCTACACGGAAATACCCTTGGCCTTAACGCATACGGACCGCTTATGTGATTCTCCAATGGGGATAAATTTGTAAATACGGCAACATCTGCAATGTTCGGGAAACATGTTGATTTTTCCACCAAGTAAGTCCAGTCCATGCTGGCATGACATTCCCCACCCCAGAACTCTCCACACCCTTCTTTCCTTTTCTGCGAGACTCGCTTGATCGATCCAGAACCATCGCGAACCAATTCACCCCAATCACCCGAACAGAACATCCTCCTCCAATTCCTATTCCTATATATATACATTAACATCATCTCCATTTTCTCATCAAAGGACAAAGCTAACTAACTATCGCTTCTCACTCTCACTTTATTATTTCCTCTGCTTTTTCCTAGTTAAATTAAAGCTACAACAATGTCGTTGATTCCAAGCTTCCTTGGCACTGGTCGAAGGACCAACATCTTTGACCCATTCTCCTTGGACGTATGGGACCCCTTCCATGACTTCCCCTTCTCCACACCCACCGCCGCCTCCGCCGCCCTCTCCGTTCCGCGCTCTAACTTCGACACCGAGACGGCGGCGATCGCCAACACCCGCATTGACTGGAGGGAGACGCCGGAGGCACACGAGTTCAAGGCTGACCTTCCGGGGCTGAAGAAGGAGGAGGTCAAGGTGGAGATCGAAGAGGATCGGGTGTTGCAGATAAGCGGGCAGAGGACTAAGGAGAAGGAGGACAAGAACGAGACCTGGCACCGCGTGGAGCGCAACAGCGGCTCTTTCCTCCGCCGCTTCAGGCTGCCGGAGAATGCCAAGGTGGACAAGGTGAAAGCCTCCATGGAGAATGGGGTGCTCACTGTCATTGTTCCTAAGGAGGAGGTTAAGAAGCCCGATGTGAAGCCTGTTCAGATCACAGGCTAGGCTAGGCTAGCTGGCCTCGTACTCGGAGTATCAGACTTGAACGTGTTACTTTGCGCATTCAATAAAATCAACATATGTAGTTGAATTCGAGTTGTGTGATGTTGATATGTATGGACTCTGCTCTTGCATGAGCGTGGTTGTGATGGTGTTGGGGTTGTGTTGTGCTCTATGTTAGTGTTAGTTATGTGTGTAGTGTATGCAAAGAGCTTTTCAATTTATCAAAGTTATGAGTTTCTTCTTCAACATCTGGTCTTTTACAAAAAAACTTTCGTTTATTTCTCTATATTTTTTTGGACATACATTAAGCTTTTGTATGCACAAAAGCTACTATCGTTTCTCAAGTCTTGCGATGTTTGACGGATTTCATTCAATGAACCGATCTTTATCTCTAGCATAAGGAATCGTCACAATAATACTTCGTTTTCGTGACTCAATTTTGTTAGCTACATACTCGTAATTCAATTTGACATTAGGGCCTAACGGCTTTTGGCTCGGTTCGTGAAGGCCTGAACTTATATGTTTAAAATTGGTTGTTGGCATCAGTCTTGTACTTGTATAAAAGCTCCTTTAATAAAAAGGTCTTAAGCTCTAATTTAAAAGTTCAGCCTTATATTTACAAAAAAAAAAAAAAAAAGTTCAGCCTTAAAACCTATCAGGCTGGCTTAGTATATTATTTTTTATTTATATTTTATATTTTTTATACTATTTGTAATAGTCTTCTCTTTCTCCTCAATTCATTTTACTCTATTTTATTAGTTAAACATACTTTTTAAATAATTTTGATCTATATTATGTTGTTTGGACATAAATTGAATTTATGAATATTTATGGAGTTACTAGTGTTGTTGATTATATGTTCTGTTTGGATAAGTTTTTGTTGTCTTATTTATTTTAAATAGGCTAAGAGGTTAAAAAAGGCTTTTATTTTTTGTAAATAAGTCAGGCCACGGGCTGATAATTATATTTATAACAGATAACAAGCTTGGTCAGGCTGACATATTTAAATATAGACTTAGTCTTTTAACACTAAAGCTGGCTCGGCTGGGGCGGTTAATACTCCTATTTAACATATAGTAAAATGTTTCTGGTCAACCCAGAAAAAATAAAAAAGAATGGGGCTACTCCTTAACGTGGGCCCGAGATCGTCTCTTAAACTGATGGGTTAGGCCCAAAGCCTTTTAAAGCCCATTAACCTGATTTTCTTGATGGAAAGCCCAAACATCGTGGTTGATTGATCAGCGTACGGGCATGTTTAATTGGGTCAGATCCTCCCAACTATCGTAACTGTGTATAGTTAAGGAAATGGATCATGTCACATGACATAATGTGAAGCAATCTTAATTGTCTTTATAAATAATGATGAACGAGAAAAAAGTATTAAGATAAAGAGTGGAAAAATATAACTGTTTATTTATCTATTAATAACTGAAATAATCTCAAAATGACACATGAATATCTATCCCATGAGTGGTGAACTGCATACGACCTTTAACATGGACGGTCCTTTTGCTAAATTAATACATATTATTTCTAAAGGGTTTAGCATTTGTCATTTAACATGATACAACAAACTTTTCTACTCACACAATATTTTGTGGGGCTCATATTTTTTGAAGAAAAAACTACGACACGCAAAACGAATCTCTATAACATTACACAATCATTTTTCTTACCACATAACACTTATAAAACCCTATTTCTAATCATATCTTCGATTTGGGGAGAGGAAATGTATTTTTCAAAAATTTAAAGATCATTTCTTACTTAGAGGAAGACAAAAATTGTTCTGTTATGGGGATAAAGATATTTAGTTAGAGATTAGTATGTTGATATTGGATCTAAAAGGTTTTTCATATATTTATGAATTTGATACCCTTGAGTACGGCAGATCACTGCACTAAGAATATCAGTGTTAGTCAAATGGGTGGTGTGTGTGGATAGTAACAGTCAATGTTGTCAAAATTAAATTTTTACATGAAAATACAAGGGATGATAGAAACGTAAACAATGGAAACGACATGAAACATAAAGTTTCTACTTTATATAATATATAAGTCACATAAGTAATTACTCAAAATTCAATAAATAATTTCATATTTAAAATATATAAGTCACATGATTATATAAGATATAAGACCAAAAATAGAAAATTGAGTTTAAAAAAATTGAGTTTAAGTAAAAATTTGCATTTTTATATTTTTACGCGACATTTTTACCTGTTTTTATTAAGAATAATTTTTTATTTGCATTTTCACAGTGTTTCTAAAGTTTATACGTTTCTACATTATTATGCTAATTTTTGACAACAATGGTGACAATATAACAACAATAGGGAGAGAGTGTCCATACATCTAAGTTTTATCTTATTGATAGAGTTTATATGACAATAGTGAAATTACGAACCTTTGGAATCTCTTCCATGGGACCATGTTCAGGTTCTGTCACATTAGGATTAAAATACTGGATTAGTGTTTTCTTTTATTTGCCTTAATTTTCTTTTTCCATGACCATTTCTTGGGTCTTTTAAAGTGTAGGCCTCTCATGTAAGTCCATATATATATATATATATGATTCGTTTTTTCTGCAGTTACTACATATAAGTTATCTGCAGTAAGCTCAATATAATGTCTTTTTGGAGCGAAAATCATGATATTTTTGTGATTTTAATTTTTTTCAGAGTAATAATAATCTTTATATTTATAATTTTTTAAAATTTCAATCCCAAAACAACGTCGTTTTGAGAATAAATGCAGATAACCTATCTGCATTAACTGAAGAAACATTTTTCCCATATATATATATATATATATATATATATATATATATATAAAAACTAGTAACGGGTAAAAGTTCAAAAAAAAAATCATCTCTTTCTTTTCTTTTAAAATTTCCTCTCTTTTTAATTTATTTTCTTTCCTTGCGTTCATATCACAAATATGGTTACTGTTTATGCACTGCTGTCAGCTGAAAAAAAAAGCAAGATGCTCTTCCCGGGTTTGGAAATTCTGTGGCTACTGTTTTCACTGTCAATGGAAGACAAATAGAAAAGGACAAGTTTCAACCAACAACGACTACTAATCTGTCAAACCAAAAGAAGTAAGAAGACTGCAGTTAAGTCTGAGTTTTGCATGTTATGCACACATATTCTCTATCGTGTTATAACACAAAAACAAGTTTAATGAATCTTGCATAAATAATTATGAGTCTTATTATCATTATTTTGTGTCTTTTTTCTTCTAATTTAAAAAGAATGAAAGAATTAAAAAAAAAATCCAAATCCAAATCCATCCAAGCATATAAAGTTATAATATAAACTATCTCACCGTCTTGAACCAAATCCCTTATCATAATTCAAGTCACAAATAGAACAAGTGTCTCTTGTACCGGTGGTGGACTTAAAAAATTTTATAATAGGGAATAAAAATAAAATTTTAAAATTATATGTATTCTTAAGATTAATAAGAGATACTAATTATTATAAATATTTTTGTGGGAGAAACTAATTATTAATATTAATAATCTATTCTTATTATAAAAAAAATTAAAATTTAGAAAGGGGCGACCATCAATACTAACCCTTCCCTATATCCATCCCTGCTCATCACGTCTATAATCTGCATCATTAGCTATATCTTTAATGAAAAATAGGGTGTTAAAATCTAAATTGCTCACAATTGACAATAACTACAAATGTGACTACTTTATATGTTTTTAACGGATTGGAAGCTGCAAATGATTGACTTAAGTGCACGCCAGTCACTGATTAGGATCAGGTGAGCATTCATGATAAACGGCATTAACAAAATGAATCGATGAAGGATGTGGGCCTTCCTGGATGATTGGTTCTATCTTCATCAACGTCCGTCCATACACTCACTCACAATAAACGTCTCCATTGTAACTCTTAATGTAATCCAAACCGTTAATATGCACTGCGTTTGGTTATAACTGTTTATAATTCATTTTAGGAAAAAAATTACCTCATGTTATAGAAATAAAATTATAAGTGGGACCCACATGTAAATGGAGAAAAAAAACAAGTAATGGAACCCAATCTATTTTTGTGTGTAGGAAAGTTATTTATCTCATGTAAAATGAGATAAACATAACCCATAATCTACATACAAAATGTAACAATTGGGGATATAGGGATAGGTTATTTTTTTTATAATTTTTTTTTGTCTACCTTTGCTTACCACCTTCCAATATCGTTAGATCAGAATCTCAAGAAGAGAGAGAAAGATAAATGTTAATTAAGATTTTAATCTAACGATGTTAGAAGGTAGTAGACAAAAGTAGGCAAAAAAAATGATAGATAAAATAATTTATTCCTATTTTAAACTCAATGTTCAAAAATATAATTAAATCTTTTTTGTTGTATTTTTACATGCCTTTTTGGTCGCATTAGCATTTGACACATCACACATTTAGGTAAAGTCCATAAAACTTACCCCCTTCTTGTTTTACGTAGATTGTTTATATGTTTGGCCGTAGCTTGTAGATAGTACGAGTTAAAGGGTATAAAAATGCAATGGACCCATAAGGAACGTGATTGACGGCTAGATATGGGCCAGAAATGGAGTAAGGCAGAACCCATCCATCAAAAGCCGAAAGAAAAAGCAAAACAAAAAAGCAAAAGAATCATCAACCATTATGTCACATCCACCCTTAATAGCATCTTTGTGACCCTCCACGTGTTGACAGCCCATCTCTCCTTCCATGTTACTTTAAATTATTTTGCAGGCTTTGCTTGGTATCTTGGTAGCAAAGCCAAGTCCATAATAGTGAATGAATACACACAAAGCTTTGATCAAAATCTTTCTTTAAAGAGGGGCTATTCACCACCCAAAAAATAACCAAATGGATAGAGCTTCTTGAACCCATATGGGCATTCAATGTCAACACACAAGAAAGGGACATTAATAAATTGGCTGAAAACGATAACTAACATATATGGTTTATTTAATTAAGAGCATCGGAGAAATCACTTAAATTATATGCTTAAATATCAATAATTGACTTTTAATAGAGACAGGAGTCTGGTACTTTGTTTTGTTGCTCCATAGGGACAAATCTAACACACCTCTTGGTTTGATTAAGAAGTGAGTAACCAAACAAAAGAAACGAATTAATGGTATGTAACTACCCCCTACCGACCCTGTATTTGAGCTTTCACTATTCATATTGACCACTTCCCAATCCTGGCTAGCTAAGTTATGAGCGAGTCCAATAAATCATTGAGCTAGTTCATCTAAAAGACAGCAACTAAGAGCGCCAATTAAGCGAAACAGAGCACAACAAAACTCTAGTCTGAACTGTCAGCAACTGACAAAGTTCCCTTGGATCCTGAAAAGACAACTTCTATGGTTATTCTCTGTTGAATATGAGCGAAGCAGTTACTTAACCTATACAAGGTTACCAAACGATTATTGCAAGTAAAAATAGCCCTACTCCTACGTTCCTTAAGAATCAAAACCAAAGGTGGACCGTGAAATATGTCTGTATTAACAAAGCCAAGTAAAACAATCAATTTGGGTCCTCATTCTTGATCTAGCCACACGTGACACAGGCTAGAAGTTTTACTTGATCTGTATGTATGCTTGCATCAACCAATTAAGTGAATCTACACGGTACCCCCCACACCACATGCAACACTCAAGATCCCTAATCAAAGCGCCAACTCATATGCACTATTAGTCTTCTCTGCGTCATAAACTTTATAGCTGTAGTCCACTACGCCACCACTTCATCCTCTGGTTGATTTAACTTGCAATCTAACAAATTATACTATAATAATCAAAAGTAGAAAATAAGTTTTAATTATAATTTACGCTATATCATAAAAAAAAACTCTATAAATCTCCTTACTTTTTAAAAGTATTGTAAAACTTTTATCTAAAGAATAAAATCACAAGTCAAAGTTTTCCTTTAATGTATGTTTCATAATTATTTCCCTACATTCAAGTTCATACAAGTAATTTCAAAAGACACTTGCAATTAAGAACTTGTGTGAGCAAAATATATAAAAATATATATTATGCTAGACATGTCTTCTTTTTTCTGCACCGAAACAGAGACAGGCAGAGAAAATTGTTTTTGAGAAAATAACTCTTTATAGAAGGCTAGCTCTTCCGGATTCTTAAACAAGCAAGCAGAATAATTAGTTACCTACATAATTTATTAAGCTTGTGTGTTCTAAATGATAACGTGCAGTCCATAACTGATATATACTACTATCTACAAGTCATTTTCTTATTCAAAAAAATAATAATACTAATAACTATTCATATAGGTCAGTTCTATCTTACTCAAATCAGAAAATATATATTATTCAAACAATTTCCTAATAATTTATTGACACATGGTTAAATAAATAATTTCTGGACTTTATTTATTTATTATTTCCATTTTCATTTTCATTTTTTTTCGTTTACTTATTATTGAGGATACGAAAAATTATTAATTACATTATATCAAATTATTACTAAAACGCGAGTGGAAGATAATTTGATCAATTTGTAGGGAGCGTAGTTTAGGACTCTCCTCCGCCGTAAACATAAATTTATGAATATTCGGCTTTTCTTGTTACAAAATGAAAAACAAGATTCCACTTGCCATACAAAGACTGATTAACAAGATTCTATCATTTTTTTAGATGAATAACAAGATTCTATCAATCACTAATAATGCTTATATAAATAATCGTATGACGAAGTTACTAAAAAAAATATAATAATAATCGTATGACGAAATGATAAGGACACTATACATTTATAAAATAAAATAAAAAATAATAATAATAATATAAATAATAGAGTAGTTTGACCAAGTCAAAATAGGGGAATGCTCCAAATCAAATCACGACTTTCAAAATGACAACTCCTGGGTTACTACTTTGAGAAAAAAAAGAGCGGGAGTGCAGATGGATGGGGCAGTAACCGAGACGAGAGGGCCCCAAACACTGATTTCAGAGGGGACGGACTTGTCAAACGTTTACACCCCGTTTCATCCCCCAAAACCAAAACCCATATCCATCCCCACCTCCTGTTTGCATCAATGCCTAACAGACCGAGCAACGCCTGCACCCGTCACATAAAGTCTCTCAGATTTCTTTCATTGTTGTCTTTCCACCCATCACTTCTCATTGAAATGAAAATATCTCCATTCATTCATTCCCCTTACTTCACCATCCTAATATAATTGTTTGATTAGATTTTACTTGGCTTAGCCCTTCTGAATCGCGAGTATATAATTGTTCGAAGCACAAAATCCATAAGAAAATAAAAATATTAGCATAAAAAAAATCCTTCGACAGGAGAACAATCTTGAGGAATTACATAAAAGAGTTGTCTTTACTACATAAAGTATAACTTATTACATACTATTCTAGAACAAGCAAGAGCTTTTACATAAGAGTTATGGGCAATCTTCGTAACACTTTTTGCTAGCTTGACTTGAACATGGAAGAAAACAACCCTTACCTTATTACAATTAACAATAATATTAATAATCAAGGTAAAAAAAGATAAAACCCTTCCCTAAACTGCTATCTTTCACTGTTTCTCCTACTGACAATAGATCCAAAAGCTGCATCTCTCACAAAAACCGGATGATTTATTGTAACTAACTAGCTAGCCAAACACATTCCATGAATCTCGACTTTAAATTATAAGTTCCCTATCACAACCCTAATATCTTTACTAATTTCTCCTCCAGAGCGGTTTTACTTGGAGGTAATGAAATCTTATTTGAACTATTATCAAGTCAGTAAGTCCATTCCTGAGGCAGGCGAATTTCATAGTTTGCTGCCTCTTCTCGCCGCACGCTTAATTTCTGCTGCATGAGAAGAGCATTTCTCCTGGCCAACAATGCATCTGCAAGAAAACAACCCCAAAAACACAAGCAAATATATAAGTCACAAAATCCAGCTAAGAATTTCACTCCACTTTACTTAAACAAAAAACGTTTTTCATTTCATTAAAGATCCACTCACCATAGTCCACGCCAAAAGTACTCGAGAAACGTGGATGGCAAGTGGCATTGAGGTCATCAATGTTCAAGTTCAGAGCATGAATAACCTTTGCTGGGAGCAGAACAGGGGCACAACCTGTAAACAGAAGGACAACAGAAATAGACACAAACACAATCAAGTCACCACAAAAAACCGAGACAACGGTTTAGTAAGAACATGGGAAAACAAACAAAAGTAGGAGAAACAGGTGGGGGTGATTTACTTGTTTTCTTGCGAGATTCAGGAGGAGGGGCCCCATATTGGCGAGGCAAGAACACCCCAGTTCCAGCACATCCCCTTTTCACACCAGATCCACCTTGCGAAACGGGTCGCGACCCGGATCCGCCATGAGGTAGTATCTGTTGATTTTGGGGCTTAACTTGGAGAGGGTGGTGCCATGCAGACTGAGGCAAAGGGCGCGTTGAATTCACACTCTCATACTCATACCCAAACTCGCGCACTCTGTTCTGAACCTGTTGTTGTTGCTGTTGCTGCTGCTGCTGAGTTGACCAGCTAGCCTTGCCTTGCCTTCCCCAAACAGAACCACACTGCTGCTTCAGCACCTGCTCCTGTCTCAACCGCTGGTACTGAACCTACACAACCCAACAATAAACACCATATTCACTCACATGCAAGTTCATTTGCGCATTTCCACAAACAGTTTCGAACATGTTCTTAAGAGGGGTCACCTGAGAGAGACTCTGGTTCGCGAACAATGCAGCGGCGAGATTCTCCGCCGCAATGGGTGGTGGGAGAACGCCACCACCCAGTAATCCTCTGTTCTGAAAATCGAACTTGGACGCATCGCGGTTCATCTTCAACCTCGCGACCTGTCCTGCGGCGGCGTATATCACATCCCAGTTGTCGTCCGCGGCGGAGAAAGGCGTCGGCGATGGTACCCTGGAAGATCCGTTAGGGCTTCCGTCGCCGGAGCCGGCGCTCCGAACAGACCAGCTCCCGATTCCGCTCAGCGTGGACTGAGGAGACCCAGTTAAACCCAGAGTCTTCTGGCTCTGCGAAAACGCCAAAAGTTAGCAACCAAACAAAATAGCGTTTGAATCTAAGAAGAAAGCTCCGAAAGTGTTACCTCAGCTTTGTCGCTGTTTAAGATGGGTACAGTGAGTTGCTGCTTCCGAGTTTCGTTAAGTAGCGAAGCTTGACTCAGCCGGCGAGTAAGGCCGGCGAAGAAATCCTCCTCGTCGCTGCTCTCGGTTTCTGTCCCGAACGAGTCAAACTCGAAGGGGAACTCAGAAGGGAAGCCGAACGCGGCGTCCAACTCAGCATCGACGCCAATCTTGTGATTCTCCTTGTCGAACTCAGCATCTTCAGCAGCTTTAGCCATTGGTGTGGGTGTGCAAAGACAAAGCTACTACCAAGGAAAACAAAACAAAAGGAGATATAAGAGAACAATGGAGAGAGGAGAGGGGGGGTTATGGTTATGGAGCCGTTACGGGGGTTGAAGTTGAAGTTGAAGTTGAAGTTGCTGGTTGAGGAAGATTTAATAATGACCCAGCTGTGTTTGCTGAGTTTGCAGGCCCAGTGACCCAGCAAAGACAGTAGAGAAAAGAGACAACCCAAAAAAAATTAAAAATAAAGTAAGAGAGAGAAAGTAAAAGAGAATAGAGAGAAGGTAATAGATAGAAGTGAGTTGGAGGATAGAATGTTGAGGACAAGTTGCTTTTATTAAGGTTTCAGGGTCCTTTGAAGACAGTTCAAAATCAAATATTGGTATGAAAATGAATAAGAGAGAGAGATGTGGAAATTGTAAGCAAGTGGAATGGCCCAGTGGTTGGGGACATTTGTCCTTGCATGCAACCCACCTGCCATTTGTCTACTCTATCACTAAACTTCAATCTTTAAAATTAATTAAGCGGCAGAGTTACATATTTTACTTTACATATGATTGGCATAAGCATGGGTAAATTCGGTATGGGATGGGACTTTTGCATATTATGCTTCTTCTCCTTCTCTAGGTTTGTTATCTTTTGAAATCAAATTTCAAATTTTTGGATCTATGCACAACTCAGGGAATTTCTATTCACTCACCTAATTCCACCCAACTCCATTTTTTGATTCCTACTTACTTTTCGGTGAATTCTGGTGCTTCGGCTACACTTTCAATTTCAAATTCTTAAGCTTCTGACTCTTGTTTTAAATTATTCCTGATGTAGTTTTTTTTTAGTAGTGATTAGATCTGCTATTGTTGCTGACCGTGATATGAAGGTTATATGCCAATTTGAAAGATGGTGGGGTCGTTCTGTGTAATGTTTATAGTAAAATATTAAAATTAGATGGAGAAGGCCCTTTTTTTGTTTGTTGGGAAAATGAGCCATATGTGCGTTGATACCGTCACTGTATCTGCATATGGATATCTGATTCAAATTTGGAGATTTCTTAATTTTATTATACATTGCTATAATTATTCATGATGATGGATTTTTAATGTATGCAGCAAGTTAGAAACTCTTGAATAGGTAGTTGAGTTCTCCACAACAACGTAAATCTAATTAAGGAGACTATAGCCAAAATAATTTCATAATTTCCCAAATTAAGCTCAACTCCATTTCAAATTGCAAGTCTAATTACCTCGAGACAGTTGGAAAAAAAATTATGTGAACGTACATTAGAAAAAATAAAAGTTAATAAATAATAATAACTTTACATCGGATTTACCAAATTTCGAAAGAATCAAAAATAGTTTTTTATTTTCAAAATAAAATAATTAAATCTTTTGCTAAGACTTGTTTTAAAAAAAAAAAAAAATTATAACAATGTTTTTTTAGAACCAAAATTTACATAACATGATTGAGTTATTTTTGTTTTATGTTTTGAATTTTAACTTTCAAAACAAAAAACAATACAGAAAACACATATTTTTATAACTATTCTATAAAACAGTTTTAAGAATAAAAAAATCAGAACACAATCAAAATAACTCTCCACGTTGCCCTTTAGGGAGTGTTTGATAGAGAGAAAAAAATCATCCAAAAATTTTGATTTCTAAGAATATACGGGATAAATACTGAAAATGTTAAAAAAAATTATTTGATTAGTCAAAATATTTCAAAAAATATTGGGTTGATTTTCACTCAACGTTTCTCTTCCCACAAGGTTTCTTGAAATAACACATTTTGGATGGCATTCTACCTTGGGATTGCTATGTGTTATTTAAAATATTGGAAATAAAATTTTTCCAGGATAGTTATATACTATTTTATACCAAAAATGGTAATATCAGATTGCCGCTATCACTCTCTTGAGAAACAAAATATGTCCACGGACCAAACAGGTAATTAAGTCCTCAACAAGGCCTTTTCATATGGTTACATAGCAAATTAACATCAATAAAAATAATTAGGTTTAATCAGTAGATAATTCAAATTTTAAGTCGATTCAATTCAAATGAGCTGAAATCTTTTTCCATTCAATCGTACACACACATAAATTATTTAAGTTAATAAATTATGTATTATTTGTATTTATTTTTAACTTTATATTGTATTTTAAGTCAACTTTAATTTTTTTCTTAATGTGTCCTTACAATGTAAGAAAAATGAGATTTATATGTTAACAACATCAACATCATCTTTATCCAAAATTAATTGGGATTTTTAATTGGTGAGTACAAAATAAAAAAAGAGACAAAATTAAAAACAAGAAAATCGAAAAATAAGATTGATAATTTATTTGAGATTGTATTTATAATTTATATTTGTATATTAATGTACTTGTTTGTAGTTATACTTAATGAATTCAGATGAATTAATTTTAACTTATTTATGTATTTTTTTGAAATTAAATATTAAATTTTGACCGATTTATATACTAAAAATGCTTATACACCCATAAAATATTCAACTTAAATCAATTCGAATTGAATTTGATTGAACTATATATATATATATATATATTAAAAAAGTGTTTGTCATTTTAAAAATATAATTTTATGTCATTGTAAATGAAATGACTGTAATTTTATCCATGTTTATTGATTTTTTCGGTTCTCTATCCTCCTAATTTCATAGATGAGAATGAATACAAAAAATCATTAGATATACATCAAAACACGTAACTTTACTTAAAGTGATACAAAATTGTGTCATTTAAAATAAAAAAATATACTTATATATATATATATATATATATATATATATATATATTAAATCAAATGACAAAAGGTCCGGTGACTTTTAATTTTATTTTATTCATAAATCATCTTTTCCTCGGGCGAATTACGTAAAATAAATTTTTAATTAACACGTTGAGAGGTTAACCGTAATTACATTTGGACAAATGTGAACGTTACTTCTTTCTCAGGTCACTTTGAGTAATCAAAAGTACATTTGCATACCAATCCGACGTGTTTGGTGGAAGAAGAAAAATCAATAATGCAAATGTCATTTAAAATAATGATTTTTTAATGGTGGTACGACAATTTAAACTTAAAAGTTTTTATTATAAATAACTTAATTGGATTAATTAAATTCCTTATCAGCGGATTAATTTATTTTTAAAAAGCGGGGGGCACAATGCCCTTATCACTATAATTGGATTAATTATAATAGCTTCTATAATTATTAATTATTAATTAAATAATCGTTGTAAAATGTTTTTTAATGACTTTTCATATGTCTTGTGTTATGGATCATCAAATAAATAATAAATAAAATAATTTCAATTCCTTTAATTTGTTTATTTTTTAATTCCTTTTTTATATCAATTACAGAATAAAATAATTGAAATAGGTTATAATTATAAAGAAAAAAGTTATCGAATATTTCAAAACACTTGTAATTGAAAATATTATATAAACAAAGGGGTTGCATTTTCTCCATTTACACGAATGGATAATTTTCTCTAGCTGATACCAGTACAACCAAGTGAGATTCATTGATTTTAAAAAAGAAAAAGAAAAAAACAGATAAAGTGGCTGGCACATATTCAATCTTTGTATAGGACAAAATTTTGTTTTCGTGTAATTGCAAACTTATATTTTTACAAAAATAAAATATGTTATTATATTTATAAAACGAGAATAGTAAAAAAAACAAAAAAAACAAAAAAACAGTGAATCGAGGAGAGAGAAATAAATGAATTGTGAATTATTGAGAAAGTATGAAAAATGACCAAATTTTGAATGCACAAGTCATATAAAATTTTTTAAAAATGTATATTTATGTAGAACTTAAAATATGAATAGGAGTGAGAAGATCATCACCCTAATATTTCGTATTCGTTAGGGGTGTTCATCAACCGATCCAAACCGATTCAAACCGCGGCAATCGAACCGAAAAATCGATAACAGAATAAATCGAAAACCGAAAAATCATAAATTGAAAAAAATCGCAAATTTTAATTGAATTGGATCGATTTTTTGATTGATAGATGAAAACTGATCTAATCCAAACCGATCCAATATATTAATTTTTCTCTACCTACTTGGATCTTTCCCCAATCATAGCCCACAAATTTCTAAACCCAAAACCCATTAACTAGGGGTGTTCGCGGTATGGATTGGATCGATTTTGGAAGCAAAAATCATCTGATCCAATTTCTTCGGTTTGATCATGTCATCATCCATTCGGTTTGAATTTTTTTTCAAATCCGATCCAATCCAATCTAATTTTTTTTGGTTTGGATTGGATCGGTTTTCAGTTTTTTGAAAATCTTAAAAAAAAATTATTATGGTTATTGTGCAAATAACATTTTTTGTATAATAGGCTTTGTAAAAAAAAAATTAAACAGAAAAGTAAATGATGATATAGTTTTTTTTTTTGGCAATGAGATATGAAGCTTTACACAAATAAATTTTTGTTGATGAGATGTGACTAGGTTTTTTCTTGGGTTTAGTTGATGGGTTAATAGGTCTTGGGTTTCAAAAAAAATTGGGCTATGATGGGAGGAAAGACCCAAGTAGGTAGAGGGGAATTAATATATTGGATCGGTTTGGATTGGTTTGGTTTTCATCAACCCATCCGAAAATCGATCAAATCCAATTAAAATTTGAAGTTTTTATTCGGTTCTCGGTTTTTCGGTTTTCGATTTATTCGGTTATCGATTTTTCGGTTCAGTTGTCGAGGTTTGAATCGGTTTGGATCGGTTGATGAACACCCCTACCATTAACTAAACCCCAAAAAAAATCTAGTCACATCTAATTGTTGCGTAAAATCGGCAAGTGCACCGATCGTACCAAGTAATAAAGAGTGAATAGAGTATCGTCTCCACGAGGATTGAGGCACCTAAGTTGTTATAACTATTCCTCTCTTGTTGGATTAATCAAAATAGGTTGAGAATGATTGTAGTTCATGAAACAAACTAAAATAATTAAAGTAAAAATGTAAATGATTCCAAAAGTGTTTTCAGAATGCAAGAACAAAAGATTAAGGATTGAGAAAATATTTGAGAAAATATTGCGGTAAAGAGAAACAAACACCTTTCCGATCCCCACCTTGCAACTTGGATTACGTTTACATTTACCTATTCAATTGATCGAACAATTCATCATATTTTTTATGAGTAGTTAAGCCCTAATCCCTTAGTGACTTTAACCTTGTTAACTCTATTAGAATCTTAATCCCTTAGAAATCCCTTTTCGAGCTAACCCTTAGAATCAATGAACCTTTAACGTTC